CTCAAATGGAGAAAAATTTAGACCCCAGGGGACACTTGGCAGACACAAGTCTATAGATTTTTTTATGACTGCTATTGGAGAAGAGGGTTCTAATGACATCTAGTGGATAGAGCCCTGCTAAACTTTCTACCATGCATAGAACAGCACCTTACACATCTCCAGCAAAGAATTATCTGGCCCAAAATGTCAACAGTGCAAAAGTTGAAACATTCTGGTCTAGACATCTCCCCAGAATGTTCTTCACCTTAGCCCCTTTCTAGGGTTTTCATGGCTTAAGAGATCTGGGACCTCCTACCCAAGAGGTTGCAAGAAGGAACAGCTGTACACCCTGCTCCAGCCCAGTCCTGGTTAAGTACAAGGACTTAATCTACAGATCCTATGGACAAGATCATCAATTTCCCCCAATGGCAGCTTTAGGTTCATTCTCCTCTGCCCTCTGTAATGAGGAGGTCTGATCTGGGGAGGGGACATCTGCCAGACCTACTGTCTTCTATCACAACAGGGCTGCCCAAAGCCAACAGGGGCCAAGCCCAGCCTAGTTTAGTTTCCAGATACAGCCACAAGGTGGCAGCCCAACCCATCAGGAATACTGAGGTTGTCAGCCTGGGAGAGCAACATGAAGACTGTGCCAACCTGGACAAAGGCCTGAGGGTTGGACTTGGGCCAGTTCCAGAGCCCAGCAGGACCAGATCTAAGGCCTGCAAGTGCCAGGTGTGAGAACATAGGCCAAATTTGGCTTCAGATCTTCCTTCACCATCTTCTAGTCCCCATCCAGTTTAGTTCCCACATGGAGCTTCCTGGAGCCCAGTGCTCCCTCCTGTCTAACCTGAGAAAGAAAAATTACAAAGCCAAGGAGTTAAGAACATAGGGATGATTGTTGCTCCCATTAAGTGATAAAGAAACTAAGGCACAGGGAAGTTGAAGAATTTGCCCAGGTCACAGCTAGTCAATGGTGGAACAGGGATTTGAACCCAAGCAGCCTGGTTCATATATACTCTTTTTTTTTTTTTTTTTTTTGTACTGAGGATTGAACTTAGGGGCACTTGACCACTGAGCCACATCCTTAGCCCTATTTTGTATTTTATTTAGAGACAGGGCATCACTGAGTTGCTTAGCACCTCACTTTTGCTGAGGTTGGCTTTGAACTCACGATCCTCCTGTCTCAGCCTCCTGAGCTGCTGGGATTACAGGTGTGCAGCCACCACACCCGGCTGGTTCATATATACTCTTAGCCACTGACCAGTACGTTCCCCACTCCCAACCCCAGCCACAGCCACCAAAGACCTTCTGGCAAGGGCTTCCCTCTGCAAGGGAATAGGCAGATGGTTATGCATGGGGAAACTGCTCAAAAATGAAAAAGGTTTTTGACTGAGCTAAGGATCCGTGGTTAGTGTTTATAGGTAAGAACTCAGGACTTGGTCAACAAGTCTTCCCCCAGCCACATTTCTTGGCATTTTTTGTTTGATTTGGTTTCTTTCCCCTTGCTTCCCACCCCCACCCTGTGTTGTCCTCTTGGTTTTTCTGGGCTTTCTGCAAATGCCAGTCTTCTCATAGTGTGAAGGGGAAGTGAGAAAAGGGACTTTTATGTCCTGCTTAAGTGACAGAAGAGGAGGGGCATTCCTTGGGGCTTGGGCTGGAGGGTGTCATCAGGCTCAAAGTGAGAATCCTAAAGCGGAATGGCTGGGATAACAGGAACGGCTACCCTCTCCCACTGGGGAGGCTCCTCTGAGTGTTCTCTCTTTACCTCTTCAGGGATTTTAGGGTGTGACGGATACCCTCCCACACTCTCTCCCTCTGACCCTGGCATTACTCTCTTTTTCTAGCACAGCCTCCAGAGCCAGGCCTGACCAGAGCTTCTAATCACCCAACCTGCTGCCTACTTCTCCCCACTGTCACCTGGGTAACACTGCAGCTCCCCGTTAGGAGTACCTGAGTGGAGCTCTGTATTGACCCCTAAAAGACCCTGATCAGACCCTCCCCCTGGTTTGGCCTCAAGGATTCCAGAGGCCTTTCTTGTCTCTTGGCATCTAATTGGTGGGAGTAGGTGTCCATGTCTCTATGCCCATCTTTTTCTCTTGCTTCATTATCTCCTAGAGTTGGGCCAGAGCTTTCTGAGAGCCTGTGTCCTGGAAATCTCAATATGGGTTAGGCTGGGTTGCATAAGGCCAGGCTTCCTCGTGGTTATAGGATGAGACAAATTGGTTAGGGTGAGAAGGACACTCCTTCCTGCCTTACTCTGAGATGAAGGGGAAGCAGCTCCTATTTAGAGGAATAATGCATATCAGTCACTGGAGGAAGGGGGTGCCATCCTGATCCCAGATTCAAGCCCTTTCTTTGTCTCTACCCATCTCTCCGTTTCTGACTTTATTGTGCCTCTCTGTGTCTCCCTTTGGCCTTCTTCCATCCCTCATTCCTGGCCCTGGCCCTTACCCCTCTCCATGCCTCCAGGCCTTCTCTCTACCACAAACAGATTCTATGTGGCTGGGTCAGTGTTCTCCTGACCAAGTGAGTAGAGAGATGTGTGTGGCAGAGCTTTGTCCCCAGGCCTACAGCAGCATCTGTGGGTCAGGGTAGAGGGACAGCTGCCTGCACAGTTAGCAACTGCCAACAGGTAAATAAGAGCTTTGTGTCTTCTTAATTAATTCACTCTTTGTCTAGGCAGCCTGTGTTCGATTGGCCTGGGCTTGGATCAATAAATAAGTCTCTTTCTCGGCCCAGTTGACCCTGGAACTGGGCCTGACCTCCCCAGTTCTGCCCAGTCCCACCTGCCCACTTCTCCAAAAGGCTGGGAGCTCCTTGAGGGCAGGAGTTGGAGTTTGATCTGATTTGTCCCTTGTGTCCTTGTGTCTGTGACAAAGCCTGGAACAAGTAAGGAGTAAAGGAATGATTGCTCAACTAAGTAAACTGAGGCACTGGTGGCAAGCAGGAACGAGAAAGGCTTTGAGGTGAGGGCAACTTCCACCCCCACAGTCAACTGTGAAACTGTAGGAATCCCAGCAGGCAGCTGCTCCTAGCCAGCCCTCAGACCTGCATGGGCTTAAATCCCAGGGCAGCTGAAGCTTTAAGGACAGAGGGAATGGCAGTACTCAGGAGCCTAGGAGAAAGTGCAGCCTTTTATAAGGGATCCCCACCCAGGGATTCAGAGTTAGTGCAGGAGGGTCAGTTAGCTGGTATTCACGAGGTAGAGTCTTGTGACACTACTCATGAGAGACTAGGTCGGTCTAAGTGATTAAGGACCTAGCAACAGGAAGGGGTCGAAAGGGGTTAATGAGGTCCGGGATTGGGTGTTAATGGGGAGCTAGGAGGACATGCATATGGGCGAATGGGAAGTGTTATCTTGGAGCCCATGCAAGAGGGTACCTCTGGAAGAATCTTGGGGACTTCAGGTTCCATGGGAAAAGTCGGTATTAAAGGGTTCTTCGGAGAGCTCCGTACTAGTCCAAGTCAAGGTGTCAGGATGTCCTGTCTTACCCAGAGCTCAGACAGTCCCTGGTTTGGAAGGAGATGGGCGAGTGCCAACGCCCTTCTCACCTCAGTTTGACCTGGGGTGTGGGCCCAGACGTTTCTCAGAGCCCCCGCCCATCGAGTGGCGTTCCCTGAGGGCGGAGCGTTGGCGGGTCCCCCCTAGAGCAGGAGGAGCGGTGCCCGGCAGGCGCCCCCAGTGCTGGGGTTGAAGGAGGCCGAGTTCCGCGCTGGGCTGGGAGGGGGGCGCGGAATCAGGGCTTTTTAGGACCCAGCGCGGCGCCTCCCTCCGGGGGCGAGTGCGGCTGCGCGCGCCGTGTGCCCGTGTCCGGAGAGCGGCGGGCTGGACGCGGACCGCGCGAGCGAGCAAGCAAGCAGGCAGCGGAGCAGCAGTCGGGGTGGAAGCAGCGTCGCGGCGGCGGCCGCGGCTCCGCGCCTCGCCTCCCTGGCCTCACCGGCCTTGCGGCGCCCGGACCAGCCACCCCCGCCTACCGGGCCCGACCTCCGCAGCCCCCTTCGCCTTGGCCGGCAGCGCCACCCGCCTGCCCGAAGCAGGGAGCGGAGCGCGGGGCGCCTAGGAACCGGAGCCAGTGCCCGCCGGCCCCGCAAACCAAACCCAGCCGGGAGAACCCCCGCCCGGCCCAGCGCTGCTCCACCAACGGTCCGGGAGCTGTCCCTTCAGCACCGCCGCGGAAGCCTGCGTCCGAGCTCAGCCCAGCGGAGCCCTAGATCGAGCCTAAGCGCACCCGGTGCAGCGCTCAGCCGCTGCCCCACGGGGCTGTACCCGTGTGCCCCTACCCAGAGGACCCGCCATCTCCTCCGGGAGGCGGGGAGAAGGAACAAGGAGGGCGGGCAGGCGGGCGGGCTCGCCCGCCGCCGAGGGGAGCAGGCAGCCAGGCGTGGAGAGAGGAAGGGGGCCGGAGCCCGCCCTGCGCCCCGAGCTGCAGCCCGGCCACGCAGGGAGAAAGCAGCCGGTATCCATCTCCCCCGCTCCTAGAGCGTGCTGCGGCGACCACCGCACAGCGGAGGTCGAATTTCCCCGGCCCCCTCTCTTCCCCTCCCCCTTCTGGGGGTTGGTCTATCCCTCCGGCCCTAGGAGCTGCTGACCTTCCCCCCAAAAAGCTTTGTGTCGATTTCTCCATTTTCCCGCTGAGATGGTAAAGGGAGCCCGGCCCCCCCACCCTCTTTCCCCTCCTCCCGGGGCTCGCTGCTGAGCGCCGCCCCCCTCCCTTCTTCCCTTCCACTCTCCCTCCCCTCCTCTCCTCTGCTTCCTCCGCAACCAGACCAGCTCCCTCCCACATCTGGCGCCTAGAGACCCTTGGGATCCCGCGCACACTCCCCTGGACCAGCACCGACCTCCAGCACCCCGAGGGGCTTGGGTCACTGGTTGGGGTGGCCAGAGCCGCGCTCCTCTGTTCCCCCCGACGGCAGGGGGGAGGGGGGAGGAGGCCGCGCGCCCCCCTCCCCGGCGCCAACTCCCCCTGGCGGCCGCTCCCATGGGTGTCGCTGGGCCGCGCCATGTCTAAGGGGGCGCCGCGATGGGCCAAGGGGACGAGAGCGAGCGCATCGTGATCAACGTGGGCGGCACGCGCCACCAGACGTACCGCTCGACGCTGCGCACGCTGCCCGGCACGCGGCTCGCCTGGCTGGCTGAGCCCGACGCCCACAGCCACTTCGACTATGACCCGCGTGCCGACGAGTTCTTCTTCGACCGCCACCCAGGCGTCTTCGCGCATATCCTGAACTACTACCGCACGGGCAAGCTGCACTGCCCAGCCGACGTGTGTGGGCCGCTCTACGAGGAGGAGCTGGCCTTCTGGGGCATCGACGAGACAGACGTGGAACCCTGCTGCTGGATGACGTACCGCCAGCACCGCGACGCCGAGGAGGCGCTCGACAGCTTTGGCGGGGCGCCCCTGGACAACAGCGCTGACGACGCGGACGCCGACGGCCCCGGAGACTCAGGCGACGGTGAGGACGAGCTAGAGATGACCAAACGACTGGCGCTGAGTGACTCCCCAGATGGCCGGCCTGGCGGCTTCTGGCGCCGCTGGCAGCCGCGCATCTGGGCGCTCTTTGAGGACCCCTACTCATCCCGCTATGCGCGGGTAAGTGACAACTTACCCATCAGAATAACCCGGCAAGGGAGGCAGCATCTCTGCCTCCAGCGGGCAGGGGTGGACTTGAAAAGTGGCACCTAGAGAGTTCAGAACTGAAGGGGTGTGTACATGTGTAAGAGAGAGAGAAAGGGGTGACTTTGCCAGGGTGACTGATTTTGTATGTATAAAAGAGTCTGCCTGTGTTGCCGAATTTAATATGTATGAGTGAGTATGAATGGGTGTGTTTGTGTGTATGAGTAGATCGTGTGTGCATATTTATGTAAGTGTGGTGGTGTATATTTGGGTGGGTAAAGTATGTAGTGGGAATGAGTGAGCATGTGTATGTTGAGTGTGCATGAGAGCCTGTTCGTGCATATTTGTGTCTTTGCAGATGTACATTGTGAAGGTGTGAACTGACCTCTGGCGTGAGAGAGAAGTGGGGAACCCTTCCTCCCTCCCAGGTAAAGGGGTGTCTGGAGCCAGCTGCCCAGGAAGAGGGCCTCAGGCCTGCCTGGCAGCTTAAGACAGAGGGTCCCCTCCCCAGGGAGCAGCCTCAAGCCATTCTGAGGAGGTGGTCTTGGGGGGAATCTCTGTGGCTAATTAATAGTGTGGTAGTTCTCATAGCTGGGCTTCCTGGCAGGGGTGTGGTGATCCCTCTGAGACCTGCTCCTGAGATCAGAGATTGTCCTTCTTCCTGGTGGAAAGGGGAGGCACTTGGATGGGGTCATTGGGCTTTGTGCCTGTGCTTCCTTCTAACACCTGTGGGGATGGGCAGAGAGGGGGATTTTAAGGGGGAACCTGCGAGGACAAGGTATCTGAGGTGGGTGTGCCTTTATCTGCCACTCCTCTTTAGCGACAGGAGATTGTTGTCAGGAAGAAAGGACACAAGCAGGTGTCCTTTCTTGCTGACCTTGGCCCCTTTGATGGCCTCTCTATATTAGTTTCCTCATTTATAAAATGGGGGAGGGGCCCTGGTGGACTCTTGAGGGCCTTTACTACTGGACCATCAGTCACTAAAGCCAAGAGAAAGACTGATAGCAGTCAGCTACCTTGGAAGAGATTCTTCAGGCCTTCCTAGGCTCTGTCCTAAGAGGCCTGAGTAAGCCACAGCCTGTGAGGGAGGGACAGACTTGGGAATTTAATGCCCAGCCTCTGAGCCTCTCTGGTATCTGTGAGCTATCCTTCTTCCCACTCCCAGGCAAAACACTGCCTCTGCCCTGCTGTCTTTTACAGTTCCACATCCCTTCCCTCCTGCCAGCTGAAGCCTGTGCCAAATCCAGGGGGATGGAGCTGGGGAGGGGCAGGAGTCTGCAGAGAATCAGTGGATGAAGGACATTGGGGGAGAGGGCGGGTAAGTGGTGGTACCCAGGGGCAGATAATAGCCACTTAGGTAGAGACATAGCAGATTTATTACTGAGAAAAAACACAGCAAGGCATGTGAGGGAGGGGGCAGCAGGTCAGAATTTTACACCTTGAATTCTAGAACAGGTGTGTATATTAGGGGAAGGGAGCAATAGAGAGAGTACCGACCTCTTATCTTGCTACTGAAGATCTTGCCCAAGGTCACCCAGGGAGTTGGAGGCCAAGTAGCACTTGAACCCAAGTCTCGTGGGACCCTATCCTCTCCTGAGCTGGCCGTCAGCTTCCTGTCATTCTTGAGTGGACTGAGACCCTCTGAGGCCTCTTCCCTTCCTTCCTCCTGACAGAGGCCACCAGAGCCAGAATATTATATAACTGGAGGCTTGCTGAACTGTGGGGAGGGGCAGAAATAGGGGAACTGAGAGGTTGAGCCAGCTCATGCTAGGGAGGGGGTGGGAGCAGGCTGGGCAAAAGGCCTGTGTTAGAACAGCTGCCCATTCAGCCCACGTTTGACCTTGGATAGCATTTTCTTCCTCTTGGCCCCTGGAATCAAGGGGTAGGCCCAGCTTCCTCATGACTTTCTACCTCCACTCCCCTCCTTGGATTCAACTTTAGAGCTCTGACCAATGTCCCTGAGTTTCAAGACAATCAGGGATCAATGGGATGTTCCAGCCCCCTCCTCTTTCCAGCTCCTCTGACTGGACCTTCCTAGGCTCTGGGATGGCCTCTTCTCAGTGGAGACAAATAGGCCACTCAGTGTGGCTTGAGGTCTCATTGGTGTATAAAACCATACTTGAAAAGTCTTGAACTGCCTCTCAAATGAATGTCCATTGAAAACCAGACTCAGGGAAATGCCGGGGGCAGTAGAGCATGTCGGGGAGTGAGGGTACCAGGGATGAAGGTGGGTGTTGGTGGGTATCTCCCCTTAGCATACCTATGCTACTCTCCCAGTTGCTTCCTAAAAGAAAGATTGTAGTCTTTTAGACTACCCTGAGGAGTACAGGAAGATACTGAGGCCCATTGGGGAGGGGGCTTCCCAAGGACACACAGGAACTGAATGAAGAGCTGAGATTAGAACCCGGGCTCCTGCCGCCTGCCCAGCTGGCCTAGCTGCATTGCGCTGCCTCTCTGCAGCTCCCTGCGCAGAGACCAGCAGCTGCCCGCCCTCCTCCCCCTCCATCTTTGCTCTGCCGCTGCTGCTGTCACCTTTGTTTACCCCTCCCCACCATGGGTCCCCAAGCCTCCTCAGTTGGTGGGTCAGGAGTGGAATTTTTATTCTAGATTCTAGACCAGAATCTAGTATGTGTGTGGCATTGTATGCATGTGTGAAAGAAAAGCTGTATGTGTGTGAGAGAGAATCTGTGTAAGAGAGATCCTGTGTGGGTGTGAGAGACTCTTCGTGTGTGTGAGAATAAAAATATGTGAGACTCTGGGTCACGCATACACGTGTGTGGTGAAAATATGAGAGACATCCCTGTGTCAGAGAAATTCTTTGTGGATGAGAGGGTCAGATTTTGTGTGTTTTGTGAGGCAAACTATGTGTGTACAAGACTGTGAGGGAGATAAAGTGTATATTAAAGCAACAGTATGTGTAAAATCCAATGCAATGTGTGAGACTCGAAGTGAGTGTGTCTCTGAGTGTATTGTGTGTGGCAAGTGTGAAACTGTATATGTGGAGCTCTGCATGTGAGTCTGAGTGTGTATGTAAGGCTGTGTGCATGAGACCATCTGTGCATGGTGGATGTCTTGTGTGTGACAGACTGTGTTTGTGGGGCTCTGTCAGAGTCTGTGCTAGATCCTATGTGTGAAAGCATGTGTTGTGTGTGTGAGAGAGACCCTGGGCATGTGTGTCAATGTTGCTGTGCTTATCAGAGAGACCCTATGTGGCCTGGGTGTAACCAGAAGATGAAATTTCAGTGTAGCATCCTGCCTGCTGCCTCTATCTCCTGGGACTCCTGAGCTGCCTTACTGAGGGCATTTCCCATCCTCATATATCAACAGAAATGCCATTCTAGCCCAGACCAGCTGTTGGTATATGGGCCAGTTGTGAGATCACCTGTCCCTGAAGAGATGCCACCTACCCCAGGCCTTGGTGTTGGCCCTGAAAGATAGGGGCAATACTTGGCTGAGGGTGGGATATTCCATCTGAGCTCTGAGGGTTATCAGTGGTGGCTGGAGCAGCTGGTTCCCTGACCCTTCTCTACTGGACACCAACCTGAGGGGGCAAGACAGGGCGAGGTAAGCTGGGACAAGATGGTCCTCACTTGTATTCGGGGTAGGGGGTGGGGGGAGGGGGTGCGTGTACCACAGAGATACACAGAAAAGGATGATGATATTATGTGGTAAGGGGTAGAGGGACTTCCTGGGGCCATGAGAATAAGAACTGGGCCAGAGGAGGTCATGCTGGGGCAAGCATTGGGGGGAAGCAGGAATTAGCCAGGCAGCGTGCAGTGGACAAATAGTCCTTGATGCAGAGTCACAGTGGTATGAGAGCAGGTATGTTGGGCAGTCTGGGGGAACTGGCTGGAAACTCACCCTCCTTTCTTTCTTGGGGGCCAGTTCAGGTGTGAAGTCTGGCCTTTTTCTATGATTTGTATGTTGTTACTAGGAGCATCATTCTTGTCACATCAGAGCCAGTGATAGTTCCTAGACTGAAAGCCAGAAACTGTTCCCATTATGTATATGGGGTATGTGAATGTGGTCACATCTGTCCCCCAAGGTCATTTGACTTTCCAGATTTCTAAGAAGTACCAATGATCTCCAAGCTGGGGAAGCCTACCTCCAGCCACCCCACTCCCCCTCTCCACTGACCCCTTATCCCAAGTCTGTCTCTTTGCCTGGTACCCTCCTCTTTGGGACCTGATGTAGCCCTGACTCCCCCTCAGGCCTCTGGAAAGGAAACTTACCTGGTACCTAGAATGAGGAGCCTAGACATAGACTTCTGTTTATCCCTGGGGTCCCAGTAGACATGGGGCTCTCAGCAGAGGTGAAATCAGGGATAGAGCTGTTATTAGGGCTTCCTAGGTACCTGACCTCTCACCTCAGATCCCCCTATTTGGCCATGGTAATGTGTGAAGGAGACCCAAAAGCAATGAAAAAGAAGCTGGAGGGACCTCAAGAGTCTCTTGCCAGTGTGTCCTCGTTCAGTCCATGTATTCTCTTTCCCATAGTACTTTTATAGGGGTCCTTGTGTCTTTGAATGGTGCCACCAGACCCCCCACTCCACTCCTGGTAATGAATATCACTGACTTAGCATCTGCTGGTCAGAGCCCTTCACCTTTCTACAGACAAATGGGGTAATGACAGAACTGTCCTCAGAGGGTTGATGTAAGGACTCGCTGGGGGTGATCATGGATAGCCACGGCACATAGTAGGTGCTCAGTAAGTGTTGGCAGCTCTTATTACTCCTGCTGCTTGTGTTACCTCATGACCATCTCTAAACTCCATCTTCTTCCTACTTGAAGCCACCTTCTTCCCTCAGGCCCACCTCTCCAGCAGCTTTCTGACTGTTATCCCACCTTTAGCCCCTGCTCCTGCCAGTCCATTTTCCACTTGGCAACCACAGAGGTCTTTTCAACTCACTAATCTGTCAGGTCACAACCTTGCCTGCCTAAAACCCTTCAGTGCTTCCCTGTGCATACTGTGGCCTT